GAAATACAAAGGATCAAAGGATCATACAAGGACACTATGAAGGACTACACGTCACCAAATTCAATAGCCTAAAAGAAATGGACAAGTTCTTAGAAACATATAGCTTTCCTAGACTGAATCACAGAAAACTGGAAAAGCTAAATAGACCAATCAACAGTAAGGAATTGAAAGAATCATCCAAAACTGTCCCAATAACAAAAGTCCAGGACCAGGTGGCTTCACTAGTGAATTCTACCAAACATTCAAAGAGGAGAACCTGTCCTCAAACTCTTACAAAAAAATTGAAGAAGAGGTAATACTCCCTAACTCATTTTATAAGGCCAACATTAACTACCCTGGTACCAAAACCTGGTAAGGATAACACAGACACACACAAAACTACAGGCCAATATCTCTGATGAATATAGATGCAAAAATCCTAAACAAAATCTTAGCAAATCGAATACAACAATACATCAAAAAGATTTTACATCATGATCTAGTGGGGTTCATCCCAAGGGCACAAAGATAGTTCAACATATGCAAACTGATCTATGTGATACACCACATAAACAAAATAAAGGATAAAAATCATATGATTATATCAATAGATTACAGAAATACCACTTGACAAGATACAATGTCCATTTATGATTAAAACACTTAATAAAGTGTGTATAGAAGAAAAATACCTTAACATAATAAAGCCTATATATGACAAACCCTCAGCGAATATCATACTTAATGGTGAAAGACTGAAAGCTTTCTTCTAAGATTAGGAACAAGACTGATATGCCACCTGTCACCACTGTTATTCAACATAGTATTGGAAGAAGTCCTAGCCAGAGCTATCAGGCAAGAGGAAGAAATATAAGGCATCCAAATTGGGAATGAAGTAGGTAAATTGTCACTTTTTGCAGATGACATGATTCTTTATATAGAAAACCCTAACGACTCCACCAAAAAGCTATTAGAAACAATAAACAAATGCAGCAAAGTTGCTGGCTACAAAAATCAATGTACAAAAATCCATTGCATTCCTATGTACTAACAATGAAATTTCAGAAAAAGAAATGAAAAAAAATTCCTTTTGTAATTGCAACAAAAAGAATACAATACCTAGGAAGAAACTTAACAAAGGATGTGAAGGATATATATATACTGAAAACTATACGATATTCTTAAAATAAATTGAAGATAAAACACAGAAATGGAAAGATACTGTGTTCATGGATTGGAAGAATGAACATAGTTTGGGTGATAACCCAAAGCAATACACAGATTTAATGCATTCCCCATCAAAATCCCAATGACGTTTTTTTTTTCAAGAAGTAGAACAAAAATCATCAGATTTGAATGGAATCACAAAAGACCCTGAGGAGCCAAAGCAACCCTAAGGAAAAAAGAACAAGGCTGGATGTATCATACTCCCTGACTTCAATTTGTACTACAAAGCAACAATAATCTAAACAGCATGGTATTGGCAGAAAAACAGACACACAGACCAATGGAATAGAATTGAAAACCCAGAAATAAACCCACCTATGTATGGGCAAACAATTTTCGACAAAGGAGTAAAAAAATATACAATGGAGAAAAGAAAGCCTCTTCAATAAATAGTGATTGGAAAATTGGAAAGCCACGTGCAAAAGAATGAAACTGGACTGCTAGCTGTCACCATTTACCAGAATTAACTCAAAATGGAACATAGATCTAAAAATAAGTCCTGAAACAATAAATTGCATAGAAGAAAGCATAGGTACTAAACTTATGGATCTTGGGCTCATAGAGGATTTTATGAATTTGACCTCAAAGATAAGGGAAGTAAAAGCAAAAATAAATGAATGGGAGCATATCTAACTAAAAAGCTTCTGCACAGCAAAAGAAACCATCAACAAAACAAAGAGGTAACCAACCAAATGGGAGAATATTTTCAAAGAACATCTCCTATAAAGGGCTAACATTCAAAATGTATAAAGGAGTCATACAACTCAACAAGAAAAAGAAAAATCTCATTAAAACATGGCAACAGGACCTGAACAGACACTTGTCCCACGAAGACAAACCAATGGCCAACAGCAAAAGAAAAAATGCTCAACTTCTCTAGCTATTATGGAAATGCAAATCAAAACCACAATGATATATCACCTCACACCTGTTAGAATGGCTATCATCAACAAGACAAGTAGTAACAACTGTTGGAGAGGCTGTGGAGAAAAAGGAACTCTTATACACTGTTGGTGAGAACGTAAACTGGCACAGACACTACAGAAAACAGTATGGCGGTTTCTCAAAATATTAAGAATAGAATTACTTACAATGCGACCCAGCAATCCATTTTCTGGGTATCTACCCAAAAATCTGAAAACATTTACCTGTAAATACATATGTACCCCTATGTTCATTGCAGCATTATTCATGATGGCTAACACATGGAAACAACCAAAACGTTCTTTGATAGATGACTGGATAAAAAAGATGTAGTACATATACACAATGGAATATTACTTGACCATAAGAAAATAAGAAATATTGCCATTTGCAACAACATGGATGGATCTTGAGATTATCATGCTAAGTGAAATAAGTCAGAGAAGAAAAGGTTGAGAACCATATGACTTCACTCATATGTGGGATATAAAACTGAAAGCAACAAAGAAACATGACAAAGAAAGAAAGAAACAAAAGTCATAGATACAGGCAACATTTTATTGGTTCCCAGAGCGTAAGGGGGAGGGAGGATAGTAGAAGAGGGAAAAGGGGTTCAAACATATGGTGATGGAAAACTGACTTGGGTGGTGAATACACAATGAAATATATAGACAATGTATTATAGAAATGCACACTTGAAACTTATATAATTTTATATAATTTTACTCATCAATGTCACCCCCATAAATATAATAATGATTTAAAAAAAAGAGCAGTGAGAGAGTTTGACTTCAAAAGGGTAGAATGAAGGAATTTTGGGGGCAGTGATGAAATCAGTTCTGTAGTTGATCTGGTGGTGGTCGCACAGATCTATGTATTCGTCAAAATGGTTAAAATTGCACCAAATGTTATGAACTTTGCTGTATATAAATTAAAAAGTAAACTAAAAAATTTAAATCTCAATAAATATCTTACATGTTTTTACTTAAACATTTCATTTCTTTTAACTCTTATAATGTATGTTTTCATACATGTATTATTCATTTTCATTTTCTTTTTTAGTATATCACTGCTCAGTTCTGTAGCTTAATTTTGTTTTCTTTCTATTGATTTAAAGATCTCCTTATTAAGTTAATACATGTTTTCTTTCAAATAGTAAAAGTATAATTTTCTGGTTTTATTTGCTTTAAAAAATTTTTAAACTAAAGTTGAATTATTTTCTGTAACAAAATGTATCAGATATTAAATTTATGGTTTTTATCTTTGGTGTCCTAACATCTCCATCTCTAATTATTTATTTAGCCGAGCCATCCTGCCACCCGTTGGCAGCTCAGTGGCAGCTCAGCTTGGGCCAGGCATCGAACCGCTGTTGCTCAGAGCTCACACTCTTGAGTGAGCTCTTAACCAACTGAGCCACTTGGCTAGCCCCCTATTTATTTATTTTTAACTTAGTGGTTTAAACATTTCAAATCTTAAATCCACATGAATTGTATCATGCGTAATCCATTGATATAACCTTTACTCCAGATTTTTGGGAGTGACTTGCTATTTGGAATTCTCAATTCTTTCCTTGTTTTCAAATGCTACATTTATTACACTAGATTTAAAAAATACTCTTAATAAAAGAAAACCAACATTAATAAATGTTTAAATAAATGTAAAATAATACTTAATCATAGCTGTTGTTTCCATTAAGCAGATGCCATACTATTTTGAATATAGCAATTTATACATATTTATATTTCTTAGGCATTTTTCTCCTTTAAAAAATGTTTCCTGTCTGTTAATTTTAGTTATTCCAGTTTGAAGTTAAGAACGCCTTTGTAAAGTACACAATATATTATAAATCTCAAAGAAAAAAAGTATGTACAAAAATTTGTTGAGATTCTTGGAATTTTGTCAGAGAATATTGCTCTTTCTATCTATGAAAGGGTTGATTTCCATTTATTCAAGTAATTTTGTCACAGAGGAAAGACTATGTTCATATAAATTAATAAAAATATTTTCGTTTGCATTGTCTCTTTTCTGATTTGTGAGGACCCAGGCCCAGACCCTAGACGAAGCAAGCCCAGTTTAGAAAATACCCCCGCCCTGAGGAATAAAAAAAATCATACTCCAGCTGAGCATCGCAGAACATCCTGTTAAGCTATTAGGATGCGGTTATAACTAACAGTAAAAGCTCTTCTTCGCAAAAATTAGGTTACAACAATAGATTATTTTACAGATAACTCATTTTCACATCTGGCTCAGGACGTTTTACAAGAACTAACTGCTTTTTTACTTCTGTACACCTGCTTCTGCTCAAACTCCCGGAAATCAAGCCCCTATAAAACTTCCACCCTCCAAGACCTCCGGGTGTTCTCCTGTTACAGAGTGAGGCAGTCGCCAGGCTTGGCCGAGTAAAGCTTTTGGAACGAAAAACTCCTGTCTCTCAGGTATTTACTAACGAGCGAGGACCTAACAGATTCATCTACAATTTTCATCTATTGCTTTCATGCTTTTGATGAAGTAGCTTTCTTGTCCATTCTCCCCTCCCACCTGCTTTTTTTTTTTTCCGAGTGAGTGGGTGAAGTGGTCAGATATTCTCTTATTGTATTGTTGAGATCTACTTCCTCGTTATTTCAAAAACGTTAATTTGACAGGCAGGTTCCCTTTTTTTGACAGCTCTGTGCCTAAATTGTACACTGGGTGCACAAAGAACTCAGTTGTAATCCATAACTTGGGGAGCCCCTTAAGAAACCAGAGCGCTGATCTGCTTATGGAACTCAGAACCCAGACAAACTTCCCATGTGCTACATAGGCTCGGCGTGAGGGTCTTCTGCGCATGTCTACTCCCGCCTTCTGTCTCTCCTCGCTTCCGCCTATTGCTCCCGTTTACCTCTGTCCTGGCGTGGGAGGCGTTTCTATGGCCGCCGAGTGTATGAGCTTTCTGGGGCTAGTGTCACAGGACGAGGGAGCGGCGGGTGAGCCCCGGAGGGTTAGACGAGGGTCGAGGAGGGCTCGCACTCATTGGGGAGTCGGTCGGTGCTCGGTGGTGGGGAGGAGTTCTGCGGACCCATGGGATGGAGGGATCAGGGGCGTCTCAGTAAAGACTGGAGGCCCCACGTGACCAGCCTCTGTGCTGTGCAGACGGCGTGGTCAGTGAGGCCAGGTTCTTTGGGCCGGGGAGGGCATGTGCGCATGCGAGACGGGTGCATCTACTCATTGGGAAGGGGCGGTGCTGCGGAGAGAGCGAGTGCGCGGTTGTGACGTGTTTTTTGCAAAGCGCCTGGAAAGAAGGGGTCGCTAGCAAGGTCGCTGCACTCCTCGCCATACAGACACCATTCCCATGGCTCTCCTTTTATCCTTTCTGGATTCTGACGTGCTCTCCAGTCATGTCCATCACTGTATCTTGATATATGCTGTTATTCTGTCCTGACTTGCCCTAGCATTCAGGAAGAATTTTAAAGAATTATCTGTTTTTGCCCCATTTGCTTTAGGAAAAATGTTTTTAATTTGAAGGTTAGTGACTTATTCAGGATGAAAGTTTTGTTAGTGAAGACAAAGTCGGATTTCCTGACTCCTAGGCCCGTACTATCTACTTTTCCACACAAGTAAAAGCAAATTTTGTATAAAAGATCATTCTGAGAAATGGCAACAAAGATAAAGAAATTAGACCATAGACCTTTCCTTAAAACACTGCTTTTTATAGCTTTCTTTGGAGTCACTAAAGGTTTAATAACAGTAAGAAAATTAATAACTTAGTCCTCAGTATTTTTTTTCAACAGTTTTGGTGAAGAGTTAATGTTCCTTTATTAGTTGTTTTAATCAGTCTTGTCATTTTACATTTTTTGTGAAGGGATATCTAAACTGTTAAAAAAAATCCACAGGAAGCAGATATTTATATTTACCCAGTAAAAATTCGCCCCAAAGTTATATGATTAGAGTCAGATAGATGCTGTTTCGCCATCCCCCTGTACCTTTTGAAGGTCAAAGGGACATTGACATTCCTCCTATCTAGTGGGTGTGTGTAGCTTTATAGGGCAGAAGAATTCAGGAGCTGCCAGGCAGACCAGATCTTTCATGACCCCATTCCTCTTATTCTAACCCAGCATATCTTCAGAGTTGTCTACATTTTTCTAAGAAAGGCAGAAAATGAGCAAATCCCAGGTAAGTTGTTTGTTTATCCCCACTATATTTTACAATATTTTGTGAGATTTCTAAGAGTCCATATGTTAAGATGGAAATTAGTAATAGATAAAAATTGAACTTTGCAGAAAATATGAAGTAACATTAAAAGCAGAGCCAAGTTGGCTTATATATCTTAGAGTTTTTAAGTTGACCTGCAAATATGTCTCTGATGTTTCTGATAACCCATCATATAAAGGGAATCACTTGGATACAGACAGACTAATTCTTTTCAAGACACAAAGACTTCCTGGGAGCTATCCTTTTTGGTCTTAACATAGGGACACATAGTGAATAACCTTGCAGTGACAGCCCTGAAATAAGTTCTTCAAGACTGTACCTCACTGGGAGTAAAAGAGTCCACAAGGTGATTCAAACAGTCAATTTTATGATGGTCTTGTTTGATCCTAGTATAAAACCTACTGTGTTTATAGGAATGAACTGCTATCATGCTTGTTAACAAAAAATCTCCATAGCTATTTTATGTTAGCTAGGCTGTGTATATAAGGTGTGTAACAGATGGTTAAAAGTTAATTTCTTTGGTAAATGTTTCTGAGCTTCTCAAGTCAAATTTCATCCCATATCATTCTGTCTTGGTTCTTTCCCTCCACCTTTTAGAATCTATCCAGGTAAAGGTCACCAGTGACTTAATTGTAGTTGCCTTCCTTGAACAACTGCTACATTACCCTACTGACTACTCCTGGAAAATCTCTCTTCTCATCATCTCATACCACTCTTCTGATGGCTCTTTTTTGGAGTCTTCCTTATTGTGCCTCTAGTTTAGTTCCAAGTTTTCATCCTTTGTTTACTAGTCTTCTCATTTTATCTCTGTATGTACATTGAAATATATGTAGATAATTGAACAGTACTGTTTATTGTTTAAAAATATGTAAACTATCTTAATGTATGTATGATACACATTTTCCCCCAACTCATCAATGATTTAAGATCTATCCAAATATAGTTTATTCCTTTTAATGTCATATTTTTCCATTGTATGGCAATACTATATTCTAAATAGTATATTTCATTGGTAGACAGGTAATTTCTGTTTTTCAGTGATATGAATAATGCTGCTGTGAATATCCTTGTCATTCTTTTTGCACAATCGCAAATATACCTGCAGATTCTAGAGCAGTGATTCTCAAAGTGAGGTTCTTTGACCAGAAAAGCAGCATAACCTGGAAACTTACTATTTGAAATGCAGCCTCATGCCGCATTCGAAACCTACTGGAAGAGAAATTCTGGGGGTGAGGCCCAGCAATCCATGATTTAAACAAGGCATCTAAGTGATGCTGATACCCACTAAGTATAATAAGAATCACTGCTCTAGAAAACTATGATTAAATTTTTGAATTGTAGAATATGAGAATTTCTAATTTTTCTAGGCATGTTATTAATCATTAGAGGACTATTTTCCCTCCTTTCTCTCCAGATACAAAAATTATTTCTGCACTAGTGTGTGAAAACTACAGTTCGATTTTCACCTGTCTGATTATTCAGTTGTGAAACTTTAATAAGTCTATGGCTTTTCAGGTTTTGTTTTGTTTTTTAAAACAATACAGGAAATAGTATTGCCTTTTTTTTCCCCTCTAGATTTTTATTGGGGAATTGGGGGAGGGGAACAGTGTTGGGGAATTAGGGAAGGGGATCAGCCAAGTTGTTGTCCTTCAATCTTGGTTGTGGAGGGAGCAGCAAGCTCAGCTCCAAGTTCAGGCGCATTGCTCAGCTCAAGGTGCTGTGTTCAATTAGTTGCGGATAGGCGTAGCCACCATCCCATGCGGGAGTTGAGCCAGCAGCTTCGTTGTTAAGAGCACACGCTCTATCCACTGAGCCATCCGGGCAGCAGCTCAGCTCAATGAGCCGAGTTCAGTCTTAGTTGCGGGTGGACGTAGCTGCCATTTCATGCGGGAGTTGAACCAGCAGCCTTGTTGTTAAGAGTGCGCACTCTATCCCCTGAGCCACTCTGGTGGAAGCTCAGCTCAAGGTGCCGAGTTCAGTGTTTAGTTGCGAGTGGGCGCAACCTACCATTCAAACCTGCAGCTTTGTTGTTAGGAGCATATGTTCTCACCAGCTGAGCCATCCTGCCACCTGTTGGTGGCTCGGCAGCAGCTCAGCTCAGGGCGCAGAATCACTGGCCCATGTGGGAATCGAACTGGTGACTCTGTTGCTCAGAGCTCGCACTCTTGGGCAAGCTGTTAACCAACTGAGCCACTGCCGGCCAAAACTTTTTTTTTTTTAGATTTTTATTGGGGAATTGGGGGGATGGGAACAGACAAGTTGCTGTCCTTTTGGTCTTCAGTCTAGTTGTGGAGGACGTTGCTTCACTGGCCCAAGTTGGTACCATCATTGCGCTCTTCCCGGGTGAGGCAGATCAGTCGCCGGCGTCTGGACGGCCGCTCACTGCAGCTGCTGGCCGCTCACGCTGGCTGCTGGCTACACACGGTAGCCCATGGCAACCCACTGCCGCAGGGGCTGCAGCCTACGCCGTCGCCAGCGACTCCCAGCAGCCCAGCTCCAGGTTGAGCTGTTGTTCAGCATCTTAGCTGTAGAGGGCAGTGTCACTGGCCCTCATATGTGGGATCCGAACCGGGGCCCTCTGGTGTCCCATGCCAGTTTTTAACCATCGGGCCACTCGGCCGGCCCCAAAAAACTTTTTTTTTTAATAAGTAGAAAGAGTGTACTCTAAAATAGTGATTAAAAAAAGTATGGTATAGTAAATACCTGTAACATAGTCATTTAGTATCATTATCAAGTATTATGTACTGTACACAGTTGTACATGCTATATTTTTATAGGCCTGGCAGCACTGTAGGTTTGTTTACACCAGCATCACCACAGACATGTGAGTAATGCTTTGCACTACAATGTTATGATGGCTAAGATGTCATTGAGCGATAGTATTTCAGCTCCATTATAGTCCTATGGGACCACCATCATATATGTGGTTGGTCCATCATTGAGCTAAACATTATGTGGCATGTGACTATATTACAAATCCAATACTCATATAACTTATAACTCATACATAAATCAAAACAAACATTAATAGCACTCCTGAAGCCTCCCTTGTACCCCTCTCACAATCCTTAATACCTTCCTGCTGATTAATTTACAACTAATCTGTGGCTTCAGTGGGGAAGTTGAGTAGTGAAGTGACAGAGACCACTAGCCCACAAAACCTAAAATATTTACTCACTGGCTCTTTACAAGGAAGTTTGTCAACCCCTAGATTAGTTTATTGAATTTGTTAGTGTTGGTATTATTCATGCCCTTTTCAAATTAATTTTCCTACTCCAAGGTCAAGATAATCCCTTTTGGGGATGGCCAGTTAGCTCAGATGGTTAGAGCGCAAGCTCATAACACCAAGGTTGCCGGTTCGATTCCCACATGGGCCATGGAGCCACGCCCTCCACAACTAGATTGAAACAACTACTTGACTTGGAGCTGATGGGTCCTGGAAAAACACACTGTTCCCCAATAAAATTTATATAAAAAAAAGGCTAATCCCTTTTGTTATTTTTAAAATATTAATTGTTTTGGCTTTCACATTTATGTGTATTTTATTGTAATTGATATGCACTTATGTATGAGGATGACATCAGTTTACTTTTCTAGCATAAAGTATATCTAGTATCATTCTTAAAACAATTTTTTGGTGCCGGCTGAGTGGCTCAGTTGGTTAAGAATTAGCTTAAGAGTGCAAGCTCTGAGCAACAGGGCTGCCGGTTTGATTCCCACATGGGCCAGTGATGCTGTGCCCAAGCTGAGCTGCCATTGAGCTGCCAACAGGTGGCAGGATGGCTCGGCTGGTGAGAGCATGTGCTCCTAACAACAAGACTGCCTGTTCAATGGTGGGCTATGCCCACCCGCAACTAAGACTGAACTTGGCACCTTGAGCTGAGCTGCTGTCCAGATGGCTCAGTGGATAAAGCATGTGTTCTTAACAACAAGGCTGCTGGTTTGACTCTCACGTGGGATGGTGGCTACCCCCACCCACAACTAAGATTGTAACACAACACCTTAAGCTTTGAGGCTATGAGCTGCTGATGGGCAGCCAGATCGCGACTGGCGCCTTCCACAACTAAGATTGAGGAACAACAACTTGGCTGGTTTCTCTCCCCAATGCCCCAACACTGTTCCCCTCCCCCAGTTCCTCAATAAAAAAACCCCGAACATTTAAAAAAACACACCCAATTTTTCCCCACTGTTTTACAGTATGATATATGCCATAATAATGTATACATCTGTGTCTGGGTCTTTCTGTTCCATTGGTTTGATTGTCTCTCCTTATGCCAATACCACATTTCTGTTACCCTTGTCATAAACAAGTGATGATATATTTATTCCTGCTTACACTAAAATAAATTCCAGAAAATACTCATTATAATTAAACTAGCACCATTTATTGAAATGATTGTCTTTCTGTTACCCTTGTCATAAACAAGTGATGATATATATGTGGGTCTGTTTTTGGACTCTTCTCCATTCTGTGTATACATTTAAAAATTCTAATGCCCATACAACAGTTTTAATTATGGTACATTGATTAATTTTACTTGATATAGCATTTCTTCTGGCTTTATTTTTCGTCAAGATCAGTTTGTCTATTTTTAGCTCTTTGCATTTTTACATATATTTTTTTTTTTTAGATTTTTTTTAATTGGGAAATTGGGAGAGGGGAACAGTGCTGGGGAATCGGAGAAGGGGAACAGATAAGTTGCTGTCCTTTTGTTCTTCAGTCTAGTTGTGGAGGATGTTGCTTCACTGGCCCATCTTGGTATTGTGATCATTGCGCTCTTCCAAGGTGAGACAGATCGGTTGCTGGGCTCTGGACGGCCGCTCACAGCGGCTCTTGGCAGCTCATGCTGGCTGCCGGCCGCTCACGCTGGCAGTCCTCCACTCACGGTAGCTTATTGCAGCCCACTGCAGCAGGGTTGTAGCCTACGCCATCGCCGGCGACTCACGGCAGCCCAGCTCCAAGTTGAGCCGCTGTTCACCATCTTAGCTGTAGAGGGCAGTGTCACTGGCCCACATGTGGGATCCGAACCGGGGCCCTCTGGCGTCCCAAGCCAGCTCTTAACCAATGCGCCACTCAGCTGGCCCTGCATTTTTAATATTTTAGAATTAGCCTAATATGCAAATCTGCTGGGATTTTGTTTGAGATTGCTGTGAATTTAAATATCAGCATGGAGTGAATTGATATTTTTATAATATTGAGCCTTCTTATCTAGGAATATGTTCTATTTCTTCACCTATTTGTGTCTTCTGTATTTTCTTTCATTATATTTTGTAATTTTCTTTGTTGGGATTTTCATATTTTTCATGCTATTGTACATTTAAAATTTTTAATTTTCTGAAATTTGTTATATTGAATTAGTATCCTATTTCCAAAATTTTTATTTTAGATACTTTTATTTGAGTTTTTTATGTATATGATTGTTTTGTCATATTACACTAAGAACTTCAGAAAAATGTTGAGTAAAATTGGAGATAGCAGTCATCCTTATCTTGGTCCTAGTTTTAAGTTGAACATTTTCTGTATTTCACCATTAAATGTGATATTTGCTGTAGGTATTTGTAAAAATCCTTCATCACATTGAGGAACTTCCTTTCTATTTATAGTTTGCCAAGAGTATTTCTTATGCTGTCCTATATCTACTGAGATGATCATATAATCTCTTAATTTTAAAAATTATTTAATCTTATTTTTATTTCTACCTTTAAGAAAATACTTTCATGGTGTTCATGGCCTATATTTTCTCTGCAAGCCAGTTAAAAAATGATTTTTCACTCCGCTTCCATTCTTGATTGTTTTCTCTCATCAGTCTCTTAGTTCTCTGAAAGCCATCTGATTCATTCTTGATGACTTCAAACACCACTAAATTAATGTCTACTGAATTCTTGTTTTCTTTCTTGACCTCCAGTATTATGCTTCAAATTTATTATATTCAAGGGCTGGCCGAGTGGCTCAATTGGTTAAGAGCACGAGCTCTTAGCAACAGGGTCGCCGGTTTGATTCCCACATGGGCCAGTAAGCTGTGTCCGAGCTGAACTGCCGCTGAGCTACCAACAGGTGGCAGGATGGCTCAGCAGGTGAGAGCACGTGCTCTTAACAACAAGGTTTCTGGTTTGACTCTTACATGGGATGGTGGGCTATGCCCACCTGCAACTAAGACTGAACACGGCACCTTGAGCTGAGCAGCTACAAGCTGCCAACGGGCAGCCGGATGGCAACTGGAGTTGGAGATGAGCTAGCTGTGCCCTCCACAACTAAGATTGAAGGACAACAACTTGGCTGTTCCCCTTCCCCAATTCCTCAACACTGTTCCCCTTCCCCAATTCCCCAATAAAATCTTTTAAAAAATTATTATATTCAAGATCTATTTTGCTAAAATACAGTGCCCGATTCTATTTTCTCCTAGTTTTCATGGCTTATTAAGTCACTCTAGTATCTGTACAACTGTTAATGCATCATCCTTGAGGAAACATTTCCTTTCTGCCCAGTGAATTGGTGACCAGTTCTATTGCTGTCTTATCAGTCCTCTGTGTGCATCCCATTTTCTACTGTAGTAGTTTATGCAAGTGGTGTTGTTTTGTCCTTTAGCTTTTTCTTCTCTTTTTCTTTTTTTATTTAGCTGAGCCATCTTGCCACCTATTGGCAGCTCAGCAGCAGCTCAGCTCAGGCTGGGACTCAAACTGGCAACCCTGTTGCTCAGAGCTCGCACTCTTGAGCAAGCTCTTAACCAGGTGAGATACTTGTCTGGCCCTTTTTCTTCTCTTTTTCAAAAGATTGGTTCTATAAATAAAAACCTAGTCACATAATTTTAGCATATGCTCACATCTATTCTTTTGCTCCCCTTTCACTGCAACAGTGATTCCTAAGGTAGAGGCATGCAGTCTTGATAGTAAAAAAAAAAAAAAAAATCCGTCTTGGATATCTTCTCTTATATAGTCTACAGACATTTCAAATACAGTAGTTCAAAAATCTTTCCCTCCTAATTTTCTACACTTCCTTATTATTGTTTCTGAATTGAAGAGTTAGAGCCTAGACTACGTATTGCAGTGAAAATAAAATATTAGGCCTTTTTCTGCATGTTTAAGTTAAATCAGAAAAAAATTAAAATGTCCAATAAATGTATTGATAATTTATTTCTTTAATTTACAAATATAAATTTCTATAGTTCTCAGTATTCTTTAAGGTATAAAGTGATCACATACTTTGGAGACTGTTGATCTAAAATTACTCTGTAATCCATTTCCTAAATACATCCATGGCCCTTTGTCTCATCACAGCTCCAGGCTATGTTCTCAAGTCCTTCTATGCTCTTTGCCTTTCTGCTCTTTTCCTGAGTGTGTTAGAGGCCCTCTGCTTTTGCTTGTGCCATGGCCCTGTGTTCATGAAGAACACAATATTACTCTTCATCCAACAGCTATTTTTCCTCAGTGAAGTTCAAAATAAGACTAATTTTGCTTCTCATATACATTTGTCTATCTTGTATGTACTTTCACTGTAGCACTTCTAATATAGTACTGCATGTGTTTTATTATCAGATTATATGCTCTTTGAATATAAGAAGATGTTTATGAATTTTAGTACTGCCAAGAACTAGAATAGTTCCAGGTACATTGTGGGAACTTGATACTTTTTTTATATGAATAACACCTTAATGCAACAGCAGAATATTTCTATTATGATTTGTCTTTTTCCTCCAAAGTATAAAGCAAAGCAGTCTGTAAACCATTTTGGTAATCTGAATAGTAGTCATGGTAAGGATTAGTTCCCATACATCTTTTTCCATGTTACCTAATTCTGAACATTTCAGGTTGAACAGAAAGTCCAGGCATCAGTATCATTTAAGGATGTAACTGTGGGCTTCACCCAGGAGGAGTGGCAGTACCTGGACCCAACTCAGAGGTCTCTGTATAGAGATGTGATGCTGGAGAATTACAGCAACCTTGTTTCAGTGGGTAAGATCTGTTTACTATGGAATTCTAAATAGCATACTTAAAGTCTTTTTAAATATAAAGCATAGGGACACTGTAGAGTTTAATGACAGTTAAGATTAGAAGTCAGGAATCAGTGTTGATTGATCTCTTTTGGGCACCAGGAAGATATTTGTGTTTGCCTCTCCAGTGAAATGTTCAGTGGCACCTTCACTGAGTAGCTTCAGAAGCTTCCTCCTCTTTCAGAGGCCCTGAAATCTAGGTTGCCTGGTTCACATCCTAAATGATTTCACTTTGACAGGGTATTGTGTTACCAAACCAGAGGTGATCTTCAGGTTGGAGCAAGGAGAGGAGCCATGGATATTTGAGAAAGACTTTGTGAGCCAGAGCTTCCCAGGTGAGTTAATGTACTGCACAGGTGAACATCAGGGTATTTGTTATTGTACTGTGGTTAATCCAGAGCTTGACAACTTTGAAATGTTTTTTCAAAAACATTTCTTTAGAGGTCCTAACACTTGGATGTGACTGAGAATACTGATTATTGAATCAAACCTCCAGATACACTCAAAAAAACGTGTTCTCCTTTTTGATTCACTTTTTAAATATTTGCTGTTCTTACATCTATCAATAGTCCAGTCTTTGCCCATTTCATCTCTACTCCTGTTTATCTTGGTTATTGTCTGTTTTTCAAAGCACTTTCAGTTGCCTGTCTTACCTCCACTGCCCTGCATTCCTGCAGTTATCAGGCATTCTTTCACATGCTCATTTTCTGACTCAAATAATTTCCCCCCCCCCCACCTCAAATAATTTTTGAGTGCATGCTATATGCCAGTCATTTGCTAAGGGCTGAGAATGTATTACTGAAAAATAATACCTCATAATGAGTTTATACGAGTAGCGCTAATGGCCAACAGGGACATGAAAAATGCTCACCATCACTAATCATCAGAGAAATACAAATGAAAACCATGAGATATCACCTCACACCTGATGAATGGCTATCATCAATAAATTAACAAATAAGTGTTGGCAAGAATGTAAAGAAAGGGGAACCCTCATGCAATGTTGGTAGGATGGTAAATTGGTGCAGCTGCTATGGAAAACAGCATGGAGTTTCCTCAAAAAATTAAAAATAGAGCTACCATATGACCCAGCAATCCCACTTCTGGGTGTGTACCCAAAGAAAATGAAAACAGGGTATTGAAGAGATGTCTGCACTACCATCTTTATTGCATTAGTCACAGTAGCCAGATATAGAAACAACCTAAATGCCCATCAATGAATGAATGGGTAAAGATGATATGATATATATACATACAATGGAATATTTTTCAGACATGAGAAAGAAGGACATCCTGCCATTTGTGACAACATAAATGGAACTTGAGCACATTGCGCTAAGTAAGCCAGAGAGGAAAACAAGTACTATATGGTAGCACTTATATGTGGAATCTAAAAAAGCCAAACTTGTAAAAATAGAGCAAAATGGTGGTTAGTAGGTGACAGTGTGTGTAGGGATAGGACAGTTGTTGTTTAAGGGTATCAACTTGCAATGAGTAGTAAATAAGTCCTAGAGATCTATATATAGAGAATATAGACAATGATATTATAACGATTCAACTTGTTAAGAGACTAGAACTTAATTATTCCAACCACTAAAAAGAAATGATAATTATGTAACGAGATAGAGGTGCTAATTATTTGTATAGTGGCAATCATATTACAATACATAAATGTTTTAATTTAACATGTGTACCTTAAGTTTACACAATGTTATATGTCAAATATAATTTTAAAAAAGCACTAGACACAAACATATTTATGTATATTAAATGTTCTGTGATGGTTAAAAACTATTAAAGAAATTAAAGCAGGATTAAATTGATTGAGTGTGCTACTTTAAGAAGAGTAGTCAGGGAAAACCTTAAGGAGATCACCATTAGAACAAAAATTTGAATGAAATGATTGTATGAACCATGAGGATTCTGCCTCTTTTCAGCAGGTATAACAGCAACTTTTAAGACCATGGGCAGGAATGTACTTAGTGTTTTCCAGATTGACAGGGGGAGGGGCAGGAGATGATGTCAGGAGCTATGATCCAAAAGATGAGAGTATCATAAGCCTTATTAATGAGTTAGATTTTATTCTTTATTGGCGGATTTTTGGGAAATGAGTAACATTTGATTTATATTTATATAAGGTCTTTCTTACCTCTATTGAGAAAATATTGGGAGGGGTATAGGGCATAGAGAGCTCATTAGGAGACTATCTAATTTTCCTTATGAGTGATTATGGTCACTTAGACAAAATTGGAAGGCATGAGAAGAGGTTCGATTATCTCTGTATTTGGAAAGTGAGGCAGTAACAAAAGAACTAACATATTATCAGAGTAACGAAAGGGGAGAGTGGTACTTAAAGTATTTAAAAAAATAATGGTTGAGAACTTCTCAAATTTGGCAAAAGACATAAATCTACTCACTCAGGAATCTGAATGAACTCCAAAGAAAATAAATTCAAGGGCACATCATAATTAAATTTCTGAAAACACAAAAAAATCTTGAAAGTAGCCATTGGAAAGCAATATTACCTTTGGGAATGACAGTCAATTTATCTCAAATCATACAGGCTAGAAGGAAATAGCACAATTTTTCAACTACTGAAAGAAAAGAGCTATCAAAAATTCTTTATCATGTGAAAATATATTCATTAAAGAAGGAAAACTAAGAGAAAATGTTACTAGCAAACCTACCTTTAAAAAATGGCTAGAGGAAGTTTTCTAAATAGAAAGGAAATAATACAAGAAAGCTTGGGACTTCAGAAAAGAAAGAACATTGAAAGTGGCAAAAATAGGACTAAATATGAGATATGACAATTAAGTTTGCAAACTTGCCACCGTGCGCTTACATTGGGAGCACTGTACAAACTTCACGATAAGGTTTCATAACCTTGGCATGTCAGTGTCTCACAGCTGTGTGTGTGTGTGTCGACGTGTGGCAGTGCCTTGCTGAGTGGCATTCATTATTGTTGTGTGGTTTTGTGTGCTGTCGCGAGAATGTCTGAGCTTGAATTAGAGCAACGAACAAACATTCAATTTCTTGTTAAACTTGGCATGAGTGGAAGTGAAATCAGGGACATATTAGTCCAAGTTGATGGGGATTATGCTATGAAGGAAATGTCAGTGTACAAATGGATTAAATGTTTTTCTGAGGGGAGAGAATGTGTCACTGATGAAGAGAGGTCAGGGTGGCCAGTAACGAGCAGAACTGACAAAAACATTGCAAAAATTTGTCGAATTGTGCGTCAAAGTCTTCAGCTGACTATGAGAAGCATAGTAGACCAAGTAAACATCGATTGAGAAACAGGAAAATCTTAACTGAATCTCAGCATGAGAAAGGTGTGTGCAAAAATGGTCCCAAATGAGCTCTTGCATCACTACAATGCACCAGCTCACACGGCACTGTCTGAGGGAGTTTTTCGTTGGTAAACAAATAACTATTGGAACACCTTCCCTACTCATCTGATCTGGTTCCCAGTGACTTCTTTCTTTACCTAAAGATAAAGGAAACATTGAAAGGGAGACATTTCAATGACATTCAGGACATCAAGGGTAATATGACAACAGCTCTGATAGCCATTCCAGAAAAAGAGTTTCAAAGTTGCTTTGAAGGGTAAACTAGGCACTGGTATCGATGCATAGTTCCGACTGCATGTTCCGACATAGTTCTGGTGCATATGTACTTCCCAAGGTGAGTACTTTGAAGGTGACTAGTGATATTCCGCAATGAGGTATCGTAGCACCTTTTCTAGGATGAGTTCTTGAACTTAATTGTCAGACCTCATATAATGGCGTTCCCATCTAATGAGTTTCTGAAATCATATTTGATGATTGGAGCAAAGTTTATAATGTATATTTGATCCTCTGTATGTAGAGGAAATACTTAATGCAATTATATTTTTAAGTGGGGAGGATTTAAGTGGAATTAAAGTTTTATGTTTTGCTTGAAGTGTTAAATGTTGGTACTATAAGTCTGTGATAAGTTATACACGTGGCATTTTATTTTCTAGAACAACAACTAAAAACTGTACAAAATGATACACTTAGAAACAGTGTAAATAAATCAGGATGTGTTTATGTAACCAATAGGAAAATAAGAAATGAGTAACAGTTGAATGAGAAACTGAGAAAACAAACGAAACAAATAATAGCCAGACTTAAGCCTAGCAAAGCAGTGTTTACTTTAAGTGTAAATGACTTGAGTACACCAATTAAAGTACAGATTGGCAGAATGGATAAAACCAAAAACATGATTAAAAAATATGGTACTTATAAGAATCTCACTTCAAATACATCATTGGTTGATAAAAGAATAGGAAAACATACACCATGCAAACATCAGTCAACACTAAGGCAAGAATAGCCCCATTAATATCAGATAAAGTAATCTCTAGAGCAAAGAAAATTATTAGACAAAAAGAGGAACATTTCAACAGAAATACAATGATCTAAAATGTGACCCCACCAAACAACAGAAACTCAAAGTACACAAAAGAAAACTGATTGAACTGAAAGAGGAAGTTAATCCTCACTTATATTTGGAGAATTTACTACCACTTCACTCTCAACAATTGGTAAAACTAATAGACATTTAATCAGCAGTAGATACAGAAAAACTGATCAGCACCATCAACAAACAGGATTGAAGCAACATTTATGAACATGACCCAACAACAGCAGGATACACATTCTTCTCAAGTGCTCATGGAACATTCAGAAACATAAAACATATCTTGGGGCAAAACAAACCTCAATAAACTTAAGAGAGTTGAAGTTATGCTGAATATGTTCTTTGACCATAATGAAGTGAAACTATGAATCAGTAACAGAAAGGCAAATGAAACAAGATGCTTATAAATAATGCATGGATCAATGAAGAAGTTTCAAAATTAAAAAAAAATGCACTGAATTGAACAAAAAGGAGAACGCACTGTATTAATATGTGTGTAAGACAGCTAAATCTGATAGGGAAAATTATAATAGTAAATGCTAACATTAAATAAGATAAAAGGCCTCAAATCCATAGTTAACTTTCTACCTCAAGAAACTGGAAAAGAGCAAAGTAAATCCACAGCAAGTAGAAGGAAGGAAATTATAGGCAGAAATCAATGAGGTTGAAAATAGGAAAAGAATAGAGAAAATTAATAACACACAAATCTGATTGTTTGACAAAAATCAGTAAAATTGATAACCTCAAGCAATATGGACAAAAATTAAAAAAAGATAAGACAAATCACCAATATCAGAAAAGAAACAGAATATCACTCCTGCATCCATGAACAGGAGAAGCAAAATGCTTTGAACAGTTATGCTTATAATTTGACAATTTAGGAAAAAAATGG